ACAATCGCTGTTATAGGCGAAATGGTTAGAAATATGTAGGATCATCTAGTGTCTATGTTAATATCCGGGACAGTGCGGCCAGTAAACTCCAAAGATAAGTGTACTAGACGCCGAGAGTCATAATTGTACGCCACATTTAATTGTAGCATGGGTGAAGAGCTTTTATACCGTTATTGTGAAAAGGCTGAATAAAAATCGAGCATTGGACAATTCTTATCCATGTAAATTCTTCTCGGATTGATAGGGGAAAGTTCTTATAAGACTAGCATATCGGGGGAGAGTTGCGATTAACGATCATTCTAATCACATCATAACTTTTTCAATAATCTATATTGTTTTGGTTCTAAAAATTTCGAGCGATTTAATATCGTGAATTCACGGATTACTAAAAATATCCCTGTAACGAACATTGGATGGAATTTGGAGAAAGTGAAAACATACACTTCATGAAGCCACCATATGTCGAAAGGGAAAGTGTTTAAACTTCCCTCATTGTACTGTTGAATCAGCTAAATATTTTTTATAGTGAATAAATATTTTAGTTTTTATCAAGGAATATTTTTGACCCTATCCATAATATGATAAACGGTCAAAATGTACCGGAGAGGAGAGAGAACAGCATATCAAATACCTGTAGGTAATGATGGTAAACCTAGTTAGGAGCACCATGTGTTTTTATTTTTGGGACGAATATCACACAATAAATAAATATTGCTATACAAATTATTGGCAGTCCTTAAAATCACTTGAAAACCTCTAAACAACACCAAGCAATACTTTGCACATGACTCCGTATATTGATATCGATCCACAAAAAAGGCAGGAGTATGAGCATAATAGACGAACACAATATTTTACCACATAGACTCCGCTTATCTTCCAGGCATCTACGAACCTAGCTACGTTATCTAGCCCAAAACTCTGAACTCAGAGACCATTATAATAGAACACAAATGCGGGAAAAAATAATAATTCCTAAATAACATTCTGGTAGGCACCAGACCAAACAGAGCACTGGAGACTCAGAGACAAGACATAGGCCAACTCGAAAGCAGAATGACACGACCGTACATGGAAAAAAGGAGCAGAATCCTCAATGAAGACTCCAGGTAATGACGCGAACTTACACGGTTGAGGAGAGGCGAAGGAATCTTCTAGTGGAATTGAGCGTTTGCCAGAGCAGTTTGAAGCAGCCCAGAAGAGTTATGTAGTGAGTGAGCATCTGATCGATGCCGGGTTGACATGCAATAACCAATAGCACAAACTCTCGTACTGTTCTGACTTGAGTTTGCATTCCGAACTAAGCAGACAAAAAAGCAGGATTTAGGTGCCAATCGAGAGAGCATTAATTAGCTAATGCCGCGCGAGGCAGGTTCTAACCTAATACCAGTAAGTGTATCACAATGTCAGCTGGGCAAGTGCGACG